TTCCTCCAGCCACATACACAAAAGATTAGTGAAGCCATATCCAATATCACAGACTGTCAGGTCCCTTCCTAGTCGATGCGCTTAGGTCGGAAACCAATCTATATGCTAAGATTACATCATCAAAATAAAGATATACCCAGGTTTGCCTTTACATGCTTAGTATTTCCTTTCGTTATTTAACATTGAAGGAACAACCTTTTGATAATTTCCTTGGCTTTTTTTCTCACATTTGAGTCCCTTATTTTCTTTTTAAAGCAGTCAAAGTTTATAAACCCAGCGGAGAGTAAGCGCCCACCCAGAGTTTCTCCGCTGGCTTGTCCTCAATGTCTGGCAGGTGATAGATCAGACACGGATGTTAACACGTGTTCCTCTGAAGAGGGGTGGATTTAGAGACGCGCTGACCTCTTTACAACCTCCTTGTACTCCAAACTCGCATTCATTTACACACATGTCAAATGTATATCACTGCTGACAGGCGTCACGGAACGGGACCATGAGTTACGCGCTTCCCGCTTGCATGTCATCTTGGTTTCTTCTTTTCCTCTGTTGCGTTCACAGCTATCTGTGTGGAAACCCCAAACTGAGCACATCAGTGGTCCTGAATCGACCCAGCCTCGCACATGTTGTTGATTAGAGGCGGATTTGTGGTCAGGGTGGCTTTGTGTTAAACATGATGAAGGGAACCATGCCAGTGTTCACAGTTGTGGGAGAACAACTCTGGCCCTGAAAGGACTGGAGCAGGTGGGGGCCCCGTCTGTCCCCTTACATTCCTCCGCATTTCTTCAGCCCACCCAGCAATCAAACAAAATTCATCCAATACCAAATCCATACTGTAACTCTTCCCAGACTAACATACTCACCCTTCAGCAGTTGCAATGAAAGGGCAAGGCCTGTGTGCTTAGCTGATGGTGAGTGTGTGTTAAGGAGGAGGAGAGGGCGGGGGTGTTGCGGTGCGTCCCTCTGATTTTACCCATCTAAAATAGGGAGCTCCTAATCTCCCTTTGGCAGCAGTGGCCAGGCAGCCACTTCTGACACATTCTGCAGAAAGAAGCGCTCCTGACAGGTGAGGAGCTGAAAATAGTTGCGTGAGACTCACACACTCATTCACACACATGCATGAATATTCGTTTAGCGTGCACACATCGCTAAATGGGCCACATGCGCATCAGCATCTGTATGATTGGATCTCTGCAGAGATATCTGCATAAAAACAAAGTTAATACAACCATGGGAGGTTCAAGAATTTAGGGAAATTTGTTTTAGAAGGCGAAGTGTGTATGCCTGTTATAGGCATAAGGTTAATAAAAAAAGATCACGCATTCTCTTTGTCATGTTTCTATGTAATTATTTTAATTTAAATACAGGAAAGAGACAAATATAGGCCTGGTAAAGAATAAATTACATTGTATTTATAAAAATAGCAATATTTAATTCTCATTTCTTTATTTTCTTTATAGAAAAAAAATCACATCTTCCTTGATTTTGTGGTAGATTTATTCTCTCAGTAAATTTACCCTTTTTAAACTATCAAAACTAACAGACCAGACATCCTGTGATAAAAACAATCATGCCAGTAGAGGTTTCGAGCACTTATCGCTCTGCTCCTTTAGAGTACCAAAGGTATAAATTAATCTCTGATTAATTAGATGGGGCTTTGTGATTGCCAATGGTAATTCTGAAATAGTGTTACCTTTATAAGAATACTGGATTGGCTCTTTTATTTCCCGAGGACATCCATTTTGTGTCTAATGTGTCTATTTCAACTGGAATTATTGTATTATAGTGTAGCTTTTTTAAATCAAGTGAAAAGTGAAGTAGCTGTCTTTCAGCACCTTGAATGCCAGTAACAAGCAGCTGCTTGCCTACCTAAAACAATCTGAAAAAAACTATAGGCACTCTGTCACTTTTTCAGTGTGTGATATATGAAGAATTTAAACAGCTGGGGAAGATGGCCATAAATTCATCTTTTGAAACTGGATAATTTTAAAACTTAGTATGGTGCAAACTCATCCACATTGACGGAACTTGCACGTATGCCGCTCCCTGACAATTACATCCTTTTCACAAACCTCTAATTCCCGAGAAAATACTTTGAGCAATCATACAAATGAGCAAAAATAATGTTTTGGTTGTTTTTGCTACCACTTTTCTAATGTTACCCTGACTAATGTTTAATAAGTTTGCAGGGTTGCTGGCTCATCAAGTTTTAGAAACTTGCCAAACTTATAAAATAAAATTGAAAATTAAAAACATTTGTTAGTATATATCTAAATATCCAGTTTACACATTCTTCCTTTTCTAACAGACCAGTAATGATTTAATGAATGTATAGACTCTAGATGCATTGCAGGGTTTTAGTCAAAAGGGACAAATAAAAGGCTATTTTGAAGATATTTCTCAGTAAAAACGTACATAATGTCTCTTTAAATGAACTGTTTCCCAGCTTTAAATGACCTGAGAATTTCAAAATGTAGGAAAGCAAAATTAGTATGAATAAAAAACAGCAAAAAAAGATATAGAGTACATAAAAACTCCAGAAATGATTAAAACATTTCTTTCTCTGAGCTTCTTGGCATCAATAAAGATCATAAATGTGACAGGGATTCCTGTCATCTCTGTCACTTATATCAAAAATAATCTCTTCATATCAGCACACATATAAAATCAATCATAATCGGGATAGACTGAAGGTGTTGCTACACAAAGTGCACATCTATTTTACTTTGTTTTAAAAATGTGGACAAATATTGCCATGCAGCATGAAAACTGATACTAAAGAAAGTTGTATAGAGTGGTGCAGATTATAATCCCCTCAATTCTGCAACAAATGGCCTTTTCCCCTTGGGATGCTGATCCCCAGTATTGCTTCTTATCACATTGTTGGAGAATATAACAAAGTACTCCGAAGATCAGACAGACACAGCTGTATCAGGGTGGAGATGTGCACCTGATGCATGAAGGAAAGAGAAGCTTTCAGTAGACCTGAAACTGGAACTAAGTAGCTATTATTTCCTGTCAATGATTCATGAGTCAGTTCATACAGACCGTACAGACCTTGGAACTCAAACTGGCCTGTCTGGTCACTGGTTGTTTTCTGCAGTCGTACAATATGATCCAGCAGGTCGCAGTGTTGATATTCAAAGTGGAAAAAGTGGTTGGCCCTCCTGTCTGTATAATAATACCTTTATTATTTATACCTGCTGAATATGCAATATATCGCACTTACTTATCCATCACTTTCTTACAGTAATTCTATGCATTCTGGAAAAATAAGTTTGAGTAGAGTTATTTGGAAGAGACAGGTACCCTTCCCAACAGAGATAGGCACCAGAACCCAACAACATTATTAATGGAGGGAAGGAATGTTAAAGTTTTTTTTACATCAGTTACAGGTACACGTGCTAATATGACTGAGTTAGGAAAGTATTTTAAGATTATCCTTATTTAGACAAGCATGAAACAATGTTTTTTTAAATGTTGCATCATTAATCTTCATTTACCTCTAAGATAAATGTTAAAAACAGCAGCCCAAACTCCATCTACTGCAAACCCTTCTTCTGGCTGCCAAACTGACTAATTAAAATCGCCTCCACATGTGTTCAAAGAACAAGAAGTCTATTTGCAAGCCTTATTGATTACTTTAAGGCGTACAAATGGAATACTGTGTTAGAAGAGGGGCTCTCGATTTAGCTTCAATCTGCCAGGCATAAAATGATCTCACTGTGTTTGCTGGGAAGAATGAGCTCCCTTCGGGCACGCTGGGTAATTAGGTTAGTGGATAGTCGGTGTCAGGAAATTGAAAGACCATCCTAATCGGATTCTTTTGTTTCCAAGGGAATCAAAGGAATTTATGTGCGTCGCTGGGAAATCTCACACGATTCAATTCTGCTTGACCATGTAAAATCTGTTTGCTCTCCCTCAGTCCTCAAACAAGTTTTAATGCGAGCTTGTAAATTCAGCACATAAGGTGCATCGAGCCTTTTGTCCTTTGTGATGGCTTTGGAGATAATCCCTGACGTGTCAGGAGTGTATGCTCAAATCTCCAAAGGACAAGCCTTCTTTAGAACTAAAAAAGAGCTTACTCTTTAAAGAATCAGTCTTTTTTATGTTAGATATTATAAAATGATAAAAATCTTTGCACAAATAAATCAGCCAATGGTCAATATTTGCTAGCTTTTCAAAAATCAGTTTATTTTAGTTTCTCTTAAATGGATCACTTAAAGCTCAAACAAAACACTAATTGATTAAACATAAGAATTATTTCTAACATGATAATGTTAAAAACAACGCATATGTCTTATTTTGATTTTGATATACCGGTAGTATTATATACTGAAGTACAAGAAAAAAAAACATATCCCCAGTAGCTCTTGATTACTTATTACACAGTATAATCTTCCTTTATTGTGTCTTGTAGTATAACTTTTGAACAATTAGAATTATAGCTTTGTTGCATATTATTGGAACAATGTGTTTTTGGCTCCTGAAAATATTTCCAAACAGATTAATTAATCTGGGAAATGTGGAAAGTACATAGTGACATTCTCTCAGTAGTTGAATAGCAGTATGCAGGACCAGGTAGGGGAGGGGGCCATATAACTTGAGATAACTCTGATCACTATGCACTCTCTCTAACATCCTCTAACAAGAACAAAAATGAAAGGACATTTCTGTGTGACAGAAATTTTTGTGCCTTTATTCCATCTCAGGTTACGGATTAGCATCTTATGCTATGACAGGTGTTTGGTTATTATTCAGAAGTGGGTATAAGCTTGCAATCCCTTCATGTTCTTCTGGATTTTACCAAATCTGTGCATCTTTGTGACAAATAAATTGGGAAGTTGGGCCAGAGTTATTTGAGTTTTAATGTATTACACTTATCAGTTTAAACATTTTGATCCAAACAACATTTTGATATGTCAAATAGTGAAGTTTCTATTTTTTTTTTGCTTTCTTATGCTCATCCCATTCTGATTTGTTTTTTTTCTTCTGTTCTGCAGGTGTTCGTCTGGACCGAGTGAGAGGTGGGAGACAGAAGTATAAACGTAGGTTAGATGCAGAGAATGGATCCTACCTCGGCCTCACTCTACCTCCCCCGGCAAAAAAGCCCTGTAAGTATTTATAATACCTATTAATTATAAAATAAAATAACCTACTGAAAGCATGTATGGATGTTGCAACTCCTAAAGCTGCAGCAGGTCTAGATTTCACATACCGTATTTTCACGACCATAAGGCGCACCGGACTAAAAGGCGCACTCTCAGTTATGTGTCCCATTTCTGTATTTAACACACACATAAGGCGCACCGGACTATAGGGCGCGTTTTTTATATACAGGTACATGTCCTCTCAGGTGGATTTTCTCACTTAAAAACAAATTAAAACTACTTTATTCCCACTGATCACAGCAAATAAAGCTGCAAGGTGTATTTATTACAAAGTATTATTAAAACCTGGGAACCTGCCGTGAGAGACACATCGCTGATGACACAGGGCTGTGATTAATCCTCTGATACAGTTTATTGACGCATAAATTAACTTAAAAAATAGGCAGGATAATAATCTGGATGAGCTGACTGCAATGATAAAATTTTCAGGTGGACTTTCTCACTTAAAAAGATTTAGATTATTTAGATGAAAAAACACCTGCGGAGGTGAGTCCGGATGCGCCGCGCGGCCCACAGGCTGCTGTTGAATTAAGTTTTCAGGTAGAAAAATAGAGCGGGAGCAAAACTGAGTATGATTGTGCTTTATTCAAGTATTTATTACAGAGTATTAATCAAACCCCTCAAAGTCCTCATCCTCTGTTTCTGAATTAAACAGCTGCGCTAAATCCGACATGCCAGTTTCCCCTTCTTCTTCGTTTATTGACGCATAAATTAACTTAAAACATAGGCAGGATAATAATCTGGATGAGCTGACTGCAATGATTAAATTTTCAGGTGGGCTTTCTCACTTAAAAAGATTTAGATTATTTAGATGAAAAAACACCTGCGGAGGTGAGTCCGGATGCGCCGTGGACCAGAGCCTGCTGTTGAATTAAGTTTTCAGGTAGAAAAATAGAGCGGGAGCAAAACTGAGTATGATTGTGCTTTATTCATGTATTTATTACAAAGTATTAATCAAACCCCTCAAAGTCCTCATCCTCTGTTTCTGAATTAAACAGCTGCGCTAAATCAGACATGCCAGTTTCCCCTTCTGCGCTGTCAGAGTCACTTTCCGTGCAGCGCGGCTCCTCAGAAATAATGCCTGCTTTTGCAAAAGCTTGAAGAACAGAGCCAGCAGACACGTTATTCCTCGCTGCTTCTGCTGCACCTGCTGGGTCCGGTTCACACCGATTTCGAGCGGTTGAACAGCGAGCACAGGGTTAATTTGTTTCCCCATGTTTTTCACATCAGCTGTGAGATGGGCACGCATGGAGTTACAGATTAATGGTGATGAGTGGAAAAAAAAACAGCTGGTCTCCTTACATTCAGCCACTCTTTCATCATCTCCTCAATGAGGTGGTCTCAAAAGTCGCAGTTACAACACACATAGGGCGCACCGCACCATAGGGCGCACGGCACATTTTGAGGGGGAAAAAAGACGTTTAAGTGCGCCTTATAGTCGTGAAAATACGGTAATCATGATTCAGGTTTCAGGTTTATTACTGAGCATGAATTTTCGCTTTCAGTGACAAAGATTGTTTCGCATTTGCTGGTGGTGGAGCCGGAAAAGATCTACGCCATGCCAGATCCGACCATGCCTGATGGTGACATCAAAGCCCTGACAACCCTGTGTGACCTGGCGGACCGCGAGTTGGTGGTCATCATCGGCTGGGCCAAACATATCCCAGGTGAGGAGCAGCGAATGTGTTTGGATCGTCATCTCAAAATAATTATGAATTCAAACTTAATTCATACTACCTGAAGCTATAGGGGTATAGATCTACTGCAAAATCTAAAGGACGAAAGAGGAGTAGAAGGGTAGGTTTCTGTTTCTGTTGGTGTGAGCTCACTAAGGTAGTTCACCCTCCCATCACCACCTTCCCACTCACAGACATGCACACACAGGATAATTAACATCTGCTACTCATCTGCACCTCAGGGAGAAGCCAGTCCCATATTCTAAAATCTAATCAATAAAGAGCAGCTGAAACCTTTGATTTGACTGGGTGGGGTGGGGGAGTCTAGGGGCCGGGATCCGCCCCATGTCAATGTATTCCATTTCAATCCCACACTTAAAGAAAGCAATCCTCTTACTTACTTAAGGAGACCACACAGAGCCTGTGGAAGAATTGATTTATTTGGTAGAAACTGATGGACCCCCCCACCCTGCCCCCACGCTTGCTGATTAATTCTTAAATAAGACATGTTATGCAAATGTTGACTTTTCTGTTGTTTTTGTCTCTTTTACTTAAAGCAGGCTCTTTGAACAAGAGCTTTTTTTAAACATAGAGTTAGATAGAAACATTTAAAGCTACGCAAAGCACTTTATTTACTTGTCTTTTTGTAAAACCAAAAAATACTTTGACTCAGACAAACTTTATTGTCATTTTGTATGCACAGAGTCTATGCATACAGCTTAAAACTGTTTAATGATATTGCAGTTGGAGTAAGATAAATTACCAATATAAAGTGCAGGAGTGTTCAGAGTGTAACAATGTAGGAGGAAAAAAAAAAACAGTCTAAATAATGGTGCAAAAGGGCATTAATATGAAAAAATTCAGTGCAGTGCAAAACAACAATATTATGCAAAATGCAGTAGATACATTGAGTTGTGTCCTATTTAAAAGGATTATAAAACTTCAGCAACATTGGTAGTGCAAAATAATGTGATGCAGAGACGATTTTAGAGTTTAATAGTTGTTGCAGAACCTGCTGGACCTGCATCAGATGCTGCAAAGTCTCTTCCCATAGGGCAGCAGGAAGAACAGTCCATGGTGGGGGTGTCAGGGGTCACTAATGATCTTATGGGCTCGGGACACTTAGCGCTGGGATATATCACTGGGAAATACTTTTCATTTATTTCTTTTAACGATATTGAAACAGTTGCATCTTCACATGTGTGTCTCATTACAAACTTAAACTAATGACATAACATACAGCATTTAGTGATATAATAGCACCTGAAACCCTAAATTCTGAAATTTAAATAAAAGAGAGAAAAAAACTGTATTTGCACTAATAAATTGATTTTGATGACATAATATCAAGACACAGCCACTTTGTTTATGATCTGCCTTAATCTGTATAGTTTTTATTAAAAAAGATTCAAACTTCAGTGTGTTTTGTTTTGTGAGTAAGAAATCAAGACAAAGTGGTGCTTTATTATGAAATGGAATGTACATTTGTATGATTTTCCCAGTATTTTACTCAATCTTATTTATTCTATCGACTGACTCTGTTACACTTTGATTTAATAATATTCTATTCAGTTTATTTATATAGTACCAATTCACAACACATGTCATCTCAAGGCACTTTACAGTTTACCAGATCATACAGTCAAATTGATTCAAAGTTTTCTATCAAAACCAGTTGATTGCATCAACTCATTGACTCGAATGCAATCCCTCACACTAAGCAAGCATGTAGCGAGGGTGGAGAGTAAAAACTCACTTTTAACAAGAAGAAACCTCCAGCAGAACCAGGCGTCAACCTACCAAGACATAACTGTCCTCCTCCTAAAGTGACAGACTAGCCAAGTAGAGTATTAATCAGATAAGAACAATCTGGAGGTACAGCTCATATTTGTCATGTACTTCACAACTTTGAAGGAGTGGCCAAACAAAAGCCATAAGACTGAACAATGTTAGGGGGGCAGCAAAGATGCAGGAAAGGATGATGTTTTAATATGGGACCAAACTTAGCTCTGCTCACCCAAAAAAAAAACATCCTGATGATTTAACATTGTAGTGGCACCATCATCCTGTGGGGATGTTTTTTTAATTAAACATAAAGCTGTAATTAGAAAATAAGCTCATAAAAGGAGGTCAAAGAAATAAACTGAACCCAAGCAAAAATGTAAACCAACTAAAAAAACAACAAAATACTGCCACACAGGAAAAGACATAACTGACCTCACAAAGAAATCACACAAGGGTATATATGATGGGACTATTAACAAACAATAGGGATAACTTAACAGCATGCAGTCACTAAATACACCGAACACCACATTGCTGCAAAGCTTGCTAATAAACTAAGCAAAAAAAATAGAAAGAATTCCTGAACATCATGTACAAATATTTTTTTAAATGGAAAAGCTTGTTTAACTAAAATAAACTCCAAGTTCCTCCCTCTCTGGAAGGTAGCGCTGGTGCAGTCCAATCAGCCCACTGTATTTATTGCAACAAAAATTAACCGTGAGTTGAGAAAAATAAAAATACAAAGTAAAACCAATACACTCCGTCCTCCATTTTGACCTGCATGCTGGTTTTCCTGCTCCCTTCATAAACCCCCAAAATAAATAAACTTTATATTCTTAAAATAATTACACTCATTAGTAATAACATTAACTACATGTTAAGACATGTTATGCAAATGTTGACTTTTCTGTTGTTTTTGTCTCTTTTACTTAAAGCAGGCTCTTTGAACAAGAGCTTTTTTTAAACATAGAGTTAGATAGAAACATTTAAAGCTACGCAAAGCTCTTTATTTACTTGTCTTTTTGTAAAACCAAAAAATACTTTGACTCAGACAAACTTTATTGTCATTTTGTATGCACAGAGTCTATGCATACAGCTTAAAACTGTTTAATGATATTGCAGTTGAAGTAAGATAAATTGCCAATATAAAGTGCAGCAGTGATCAGAGTTTAACAATGTAGGAGGAAAAAATGTAGGAGGGAAAAAAACAGTCTAAATAATGGTGCAAGTAGTCAAGTTTATTGACCTGCATGCTGGTTTTCCTGCTCCCTTCATAAACCCCCAAAATTAATAAACTTTATATACTTAAAATAAATACACTCATTAGTAATAACATTAACTACATATAGTTTTTAATTCTAAATACATAAACCCTGCAGTTGTATATCCTAAATAAGTAAGCTAGAGAATAATGCAAGTCTTTTAGTTGTATTTGAAAATGATGCAAATAAAATCCTTTCAATTCACAATCACAATAAATTACTTTCAAGTTTTCGAGTAACACCAACAGATGAGTTCTGCAGGAAAATGATTGCATAGGATTTTATTAAGTCTAAATACAATTTTCAAGTGTTTATTTGTAAAAAAATATTTGAAAACCATAAAGTTATAGTGGAAGATTTTTGCAAATTTTTGAAAAGACCCATCCTCACAAAAAATGTACATGCACAACCCTGGACCCGCGCCTGAGAGGGAACGCCTATTGAACACTTGCGAGAGCACGAGCCCATTTCTCCTCTTGCACGCTCTGTTTAAAAGTTGGTGTTTGCATCGCTCATACTAGTTTACTTTCCAAAATAAGATTTGCAATTTTTCCACTATGTCAGACTCACAAAGTGAAAATGGGGACGTGCACGTAGGATGGCCTCACTGTACATAAACATATAAACATAATAATTGACAAATAGGACGACCATTTATTTTCCTTTTATTTTTTTATTATTTACCTTTAAATGCAAAACCCTGTGTTTAGGTAGTGATTCTAGCGAAACACTAATGTAAAAGATTTTTCTGGTTGGAGCATTACACAATGTGGAGATAAATTAACTCTCTATAAATAATGCACCTGCACCTCACTCTTTGTTTTCCTGTGAATGTTGAGTAGTACCAAGTTCTTCCTTCCTATAGTGGCATCACACAACTCAATTCATAATGCTGGATAGGTCATTTTATAGTGTAGGAATTGCCATAAAAAAACATTTTTTATGCAAATTTGGTATAACTAGACAGTGATTTTTGTTCACAGATTATCTGACATACTACATGCTAACAACAACATAAGAATAACAGTATTTATTAATCATCAGCTAGTATTTCTATTAGGTTTAAGTTTGTGTTGGCACGTGGCATAGCAGCAGAGTGCACTCCCATACAAGCAGAGGGCAAGTCTCCTCATCACCGCTGTTCCAGGTTCGATTCCTGACCTTGGGCCCTTGGATGCATCCTTCTGCCCATTTCTTGTATGATCCCTGCGAATAAAGAGCACTAGTGCCACAAGTTCTTCAAAAAAAAAATCCCCAGGTTTAATCATGAGCCCAGTTAAAAGCCTTTGAGTGTAATTCGGGGTTACATTACCTGTGTAGGACTATTGATCTTTTATGCTGCAACCATCTAAATCCAAAGCCGACAGAGATATTAAAGGGGCATGTGGCCCTCTGGGGACGCTTTACCCAGGGCCATCAGGTCAGCGTGTCACCAACTAATAATTAAGACAAAAAGGGGTCCCTACAGTTTAACAGTCCACGCCTACCATTACACTCAGCCCGCTGAGCAAATGGCCCTAACGATGAGGTAATAAGAGTCATTAGTGCAGATTGCTCCATTAATGTGGAAGTCCTTCAACATTCAGATAACGAAGAACTGGCGAAGAAACATGCAGCTCAGAAACATATTTTTTTCTGCTTCATATTGTTATATTTTGAAGGGGATAACTTTGTTGAAAGATTATTTTTAAGTAATTCAAAGACTTTTTTTCTAAAGCTGTCTATTTAAGCTCAAGCTGTGATTGGTTTCTTGGTAGCATCTAAGTATGCAAACAGGTTAAAGACAATAGAGATGCTGCTGTCTGGAATCTGGACTGCTAATTTATCAAACAACTCTGTACATACATAAAGTAACCATGTTAAGGGTGCTGCTATCAGTCCTCACACGATACAAACATTACTGCCTTCCCCCTCTTACTTTTTTTTTGCTTGAAACGTTCTCCC